ACTATTCCAGTGGATTTATTTGAAATATTTTTTGATATCTCTTTTGCGGTGTTTAGTTTGTATTTTCTCATTAATTCCTATAATTTGTTCCCATTAATTCCTTTGCTAATTATTTTCGTCTTAGTCAATTTGATTTGATATATCTTTTTTCATTATTCTTTTAGTCCTTTGCGGAAAACTAGCCTAGAAAAAAAGAAAAATTACCAAAATTTAGAGAAAGCAAAAATAAAAACTTGATTAGAGGGGCTACAATTTGCCGACCCGAGCCAAGATTTAGATAAATTACACCAAACATTAGACAACAATTCTCAACAAATAACTAGTCTTAATTTTTTAGTGACTCTTTATCAAATACCAGAATTAATAATTTCCGGCATTAGCATTCTTTTTTTGTTTCTTTATTATCAGGTCTATTGCGAAGGCAAAGGGGGTTTAAGTTGAGATGTCTATTTTATGGCTAATAACCTGCAAAGAATTTTCTCAAACGTAAAAAAAGGATTTAATTTGTTGACAACCATTTCGGCTTATCGAGAGAATTATCAGAAAATAGAAAGTTTTTTTGATTAGATTGTTTGTGTTTTTTTATCTCTAATCGCATTTTTTCTTGGTCCAGCCCTAGTCGGGGGCTGAGTTAGTGATGTTCTACTTTTTTAACTTCTTTTGTCGTTGCCGGCGGCGAATGATTAAGAAAATTATTCCGCCCAGTAAAACGAGAATCAAAAAGAGCGGAATAAGCGCTTGAGGGCGAAAAAAGCCTGGGGTTGGGTTTTGGGTGTTGTTCTGTCCGGAATAATTTTGGAGTTGGGATAATAAGGATTTAGCCTCAGGTTGCGCTTCGTAGGCTTGTTGCCAGTAAACATTGTCTGCGATTGTGAACGCCACTAATTCTTTTAAGGCTGTTTCTACTTGGGCTTTTTGGCCGGATTTTAAGGCCTTTTTGGCTTGGGTGAGGAGATGATTTAATTTTTTGCTGGCTCCTTGCTGGCTGATTTTTTCCGTAATTAATTTTTCGGCTGCAATAATGGCGTCGGGTTCGATAATTTCTCCATTTTTTAAATTTTCATATTGGGTTTGGGTGGCAGCATCTAGTTCATTTTCTGTGATCTCATTTTTAGTCATTATTTTTGCCAAGGATGGCAAGGCAGTGTCTCGGCGGTAGGCTTCGGCGTCAGCCGCGGCTGCCCTTCTTTTATCGGCCTTGATTTGGTCTCGGTTTTTTTCATAACTTTTTTTGCCGTGGTCGTCGGCTATTTCTTTTAAGGCCTCATTCAATTCTGCACCGGTCTTTTGACTATTATTGCGGACACTTTATCATCCATTTGTTCGGCGTCCTGCTTTTCCTGGGCTTTGGCTGCAATGGCCGCTAGCATATTATTTTTGAAATTATTAATTTGGTTGGAGTTGGCGAAGCCTTTTATTTTTGCTTGCCAGTCGTGATAATCATTGCTTAATTCGCTGGTCTTGACTCCCGTCTCGGTCAGTTTATCAGCGATTTCCGTAGTAGCCACGGCGCGGTCCGGTTGAATTGGGTCATCTTTTTGATTGTTTTCTCCTTGGGGACCAGAATCTTTTAATTGTTCTTGTCTATCTAATAGTTTATTAATCAAATCCTCTCCACCTTGTTTAGCAAACTCCTCTTTTTCTCACTGGTTATTGCTGAACCATAAATTATTTAATTCGGCGGTGGCTTTTTCGACTACTCCTAAATTACTACTGGTTAATGCCGTAGTAGCGGATTTTATAATT